GTTTGACACTTTGACTCGACTTTTGTATTCAATATTCCCCCCACAAACCAAGCTGCCTATTTCTAATGTTGTCCTTCACCAGTTAGCAACAAGTGAAATCTCTTGCGTTCAATAGTCCCCTTCAAACTAAGCTGCTGCTACAATTTCTGAGCTATCAGCTGTGAGTTATGGGTCCACCAGTTGAGACCCGTTTTGTTTTTTACCCGTAACCAGCTCGGACCATATTTTTACGGGTCATCCGGGTATACCCGCTTAATTCCCAAAAGCAAAATCCCTAAACCGTGAATCATTTCCTTTCGTAACATCTCTCTCAACTCTCAAGTCTTCAGTTCACCCTCGAGTCGACATCTCTCACTCCCTCTGCATCTGTCCTCGCTACTCTCTTGGACCCTTCCAGGAAAAAAGAAGCTTTTCCAGTTCTCCTCATTCTCCGTCACCGCCAACGACTGTTGGGTAAGACTCTTGTCTCTTTTTTTTTTTTTTTTTTTTTTTTTTTTTGTGAAATTGGTCTGGTTGAGGTCTGAATGAAGAAAGCAGGAGGTACACAACGTAGAAGAAACGGTTGAGAGGAAGCGCGCAGTAGTGGATGAATTAACGGCCATTTTAGTGTGGGAATTCTTGAAACAAACTATTTTGAAATTGAAAGGATAATTTATTTTTGGTTTTCAGCAAAACATATATATATGGGTGTGTAAAAGAAGAAAACTAAGATCTTGGTTTTGTTGAGCTGCCTTTAAAATTTTTTTGTTTTGTTGTTGTTTTGCTGCTGCTTTTCCCTTTCTCTCTCTGAAGGTTCCAGCGAGAGGCTCTTGGTCTGCTGCTTCGCTTTTTGTTGTCAAATTTTGCTTATGTGTCCTTCAATTTCTTTAATTTTTAATAAATAAATTAGTTAATATATGTTAATTATCAAGACAAAGGGAAGTAGAGCTGCAAAGATATTTAGAAAAGCTAGCAAGAAGGTTAGTATGACTGAAAGCTGACAAACTGTTTTATGAAGATGAGGAGTTCAAAGGAATTGCCTTACTTTACGAAGTAGGAATTCAAAAACTTGAGGTAATGAAAAAATGTCATTTGTTTGACATGTCAAATCTCAAACTCGAGAATTTAAATGAATTAATAGTGAAATTGGAAAAACCTGACTTGACGGATTTGGTTCAAGGATTAGCAGTTTATCCTAATGGAGCTATGGAATTGTTCGTTCCATGAAAAATCTTTAGAAAATGTTTCTGTAGAAATCTTTTGACTAAAGGATGGATCGATACAATAGAAATTAACGTACATGAAGCGATGGTAGATCCGAATATGCCACATGCGGTTAAGCAGACGCTCTGTGTATTGAATCGAAATGTCGACACCTTTACTTGCATGATTACTTCCTCATTGCAAGAAAGCTACAACATTCAACTTGTACAGATATGAGAATTTCTTTGTAGGAGAACCATGATACCGAATTATGCTTGATAATGAGGTAAAAATGGGTTCTTATGCACTAGAACTAAAGAATCAGAACCAGAGTAATCCGAAATTAATTCATAAACCTCATCATCCGAATCAATTTCGTATCCCCAAATTGGCTCATATTCAGAAATTTGGTCTTCCACGTTGACTTCCAAAAGTCGTACCGTCGTATTCTTCTTTCCCTTATGAGGACATTTGTCTGCAAAATGATTCTTGTCACCATAAATCTAGCAACAATTACAATCTTTTGCGTTTTTGCCAGATGGGCAGGTAGCACAAAACTTACGCGCTCCGCGTTCCTTAGCGTTAAGTCTACCTTTCCCTGTTCGCCTAATAAATCTTTCATGATCCGAAAGATTCCGTTTATTAGTAACAGGTCGTTTTACCATATTACGAAAACGTTTTGGCTTAAAGTTTCTTTTACCGAACGATCTTTTTCGTTTCATATGGGTTTTCCAACCTTGATGTTTAGTCGAGTTCCTTAACTCACAACCATATTGTCCTGGCACTCCATCAAAGTTTTGACAACAAGATTCATTGAACTCAAGCCTTATAGCCTCCTTATTCAGCTTCGCGTTCAAACATCTTGTCCTCACGAGTTGTCTAACAGCTTCTATTCTTCCTCCCAAAGAATCAACAACCTGATTCTTTTCAAGCAGAAGTTTAAACGCCTCGTTTGTTGCCTTATCCCATCCTGGGGGAAGCTTAGCAAAGAAATTATTTTTCATGACTTCTTGTGTGCCACTAGGCAATTGATAAAAATAACGTCTATATTCATAGACGAAATTTTCAAACAGACACTTGTCACAAAGCCTAAGCTTTGTTAAAGCTTTTAAGGCAACTACCTCTGCGAGGTTCCTATTGGTAATAGTTATCCCAGTGAATTCTCGACAAAGCATAGGTATATTCATGCAACGGACGCGTAGTCTTAATGAATATCCTAAAAATAGCGGAATTGGTGATGAGGATGATCTTATCCCAATTAGAAATGAAGATGAACATCATAACTCAGTAATTAGTGTGTCATCTAATTACGAGGATCACTCAGGTAACCCTGACAATTGGATAATTCCGAGGTTAACACCTAGAGAGGTTTTCGCGAAACGCTCTAAGTGGTTATTTAAAGTTGAAGGCTTGGAAGATGTACACGAAAAACTTGTTTGTGTTGCTTTATCTTAGTCTCGAGATGGTGAATTAGTACTCTCGAACAACGAGTGGCTACGAAAGGTTCGAAATCTTGCCAAACGGGCAAATGGCAAGTATAATTATGTATAACTTGGTGTTGTACAGATTCATGTGCAGGGACTATTCTGTGGAGGAATGAATGTACCTGTTCAGGTCGCTTTATTGGACAGACGATGGCTTACATTTGGAAAAGCTTTAGTTGGAGGTTTTCACGCTAACGTAGCTTTGGCAGATGCCTACGGGATTGTTAAACCAAGATATATGGTTAGTCTCCAAGATCCAAACCTAAAACAGATTATGGTTCTTCGCATTCATACTTCAGGACTGGAAGACTTAATGGCTTCTAGTGATGGAATAGCTATTCAGTATAAGTTAATTTATCGCTTGATAAATTCTGTTAATCCTATACGTATGAACTTCAGTGTCGATACTGAGGTTCATGGCCTGGGACAAGATTCTGTAATTCCAATTCGACCTACGGTAGTCAATGCTAAGGCTCTTACGTGGCCGAAACGATAGGTTTTGGCATATTCATCGCAGCCTAGCGTGGTAGAATTAAACCCAAATCGGGGAATTTAAATCCAGGAACTTGATAATGAGGTAGAGGTTACTTTTCCTACGCTTAGAAACTCAGTGTCTCTAGAGCGGAATAAGGAAATTCAACCTATCATATCAAGGAAAAATATACTGGAAACAGATGACACTGCTAGTGATGCTGGAAGTAGCAATAGCAGGAAAAATAGTTGGGTATAAATCTGTGCAAATCCCAGTATATGAAGACGAGACTCCAAGCACGAAAATGATGATGAGTCATGAAATGCATTGTCATGCGATAGTTCAAGGGACTATTGACACATGCATACGTGCTAAACTGTGTTTTCCAGAATATGAGAAATATACTCTGGATATTCTTGTAGACACAGGAGCAACCAAATGTATTGCAAGGAAGCAATGTTTTCCACATGAGCTTTGAAAACCATTGGAAAAACCTATCCTAAATACGGTTGTAGATGGAGGTCAAAGTATGATCACGGATATGGTAGAAAACTTGGTTGTACTGTTAAACGAGAAGAAATTCACTCTAAGGGAAGTCCTAGTAGTGGATTATTTAGAGGTAGATTTTATTCTCGGAAATAGCTTTCTGCGAGGTCAAGCAGAAGTTAGGCCATTTACTTAGGATAACGACCACATTATCCTTGGAGGACATAAAATCCCTATTCTTGCTAAGCCTGAAGTTTCGAAAGTTAGAAACGGTTTTAGACCGGTGAAACTACGGCAAGAAGTAGATCACATTGTTTTCTAAATTTTAGAAAAGGAAAACTGGCGGTTGAAAACTTCTGAAGTAGAAGAAGTGGATGAAGCTTGTAATGTTTTCTTTCAAAGGTTGTATCCTAGTTATCAGACAAATCGGATCGCATGAGGTATATCGCACGAGGATAATCTCTCTGGTGCATGCCTTGAGAGCACAGATAAATTCATACATAAGGAAAAAATCTTGAAGGTTGAAAACGAGAGCCAAAAGAATTCTTTAAGGATTGAGGAACTTGTAAAATCCTTTAAAGATGAACTTTTTCCATGCATTGATGATCAACCATTAAAGTTATGGGAAATTAATGGTATATATGTTTCACTTAAATTAAAAAGGAAGGATGATAAAATAGTAACCAAATCCTATCCTTATACTCTTGATGCAAAGGAGGAATTCAGTAAGCAAATACCAGAATTGCTGGAAAAGCAATTGATACGCACCAGTAAAAGTCTACACTCTTCGCCAGCATTCATGGTCATGAATAGAGCTGAGCAATTAAGAGGTAAAGCGCGGATGGTTATCGATTATAGGCAACTAAATGATAAAACTATTGATGATGCATATAAGATACCAAATAAATCAGCTTGTTTAAATAAAGCTAGATTTGGAAAAATCTTCTCCAAATTTGATTTAAAGTCAGGGTTCTGGCAAATCAGAATGGAGGAGTCAAGCATTCCTTTGACGGCTTTCACCTGTTCGAAAAGATTGTTTGAATGGATGGTTCTGCCTTTTGGACTTAAACAGGCACCATCAATATTCCAGAGGAATTAAAATGGATAAAGTCTTTGGAGATTTATCTAACTTTTGTGTAGTCTATATTGATGATGTTTTGGTTTTTAGTAAAACCAAGGAAGAACATGTAAATCATCTTAGACTGGTGATAAAAAGGTTTCTTGATAACGGAATGATTCTATCTGAAAGAAAGGTAGAATAGTTTAAGAACAAGGTGAAGTTCTTAGGCATTGAGATAGCTGAAGGAGGTATTCAAGTCCAAGAACATATCTCAAAGAAGTTGCTAGAATTTCCAGATGTGCTGGAAGATAAGCACATGCTCCAGCAATTTCTTGGATTAGCCAATTACATACGCGAATATGTTTCTAATCTCGCTAATGTAATTAATGGCTTGACGCTTAAGGTTAGTGATAAAGTGCCCTGGGTTTTGACACTTGAAGATGCTAACTGTGTTAAGCGGACCAAAGTCTTGACAAAGCAATTAAAACCTTTAAAACTCCCAGAAGATGAAGATAAGCTCATTATAGAAAGTGATGCATCTCACTTGTATTGGGGGGGGGGGAGGGGGGTGCTTAAGGCTAAGGGTACTGATAATATTGAACGGATTGTTCGATATGCATCAGGAAATTTCTCTCCTGCTGAAATAAACTATCATGTCCATGAGAAGGAAGTTTTAGCAGCGAAAGAATGTATTGACCGATTTCGATTATTCGTAATCAGTCAGGAATTTACTTTAAGGATAGACTCTAAATATTTAAAAACTTTTATGAAACTGTCTTTAAAGGATGACAAAGCTAGATTAATCAGATGGCAGATTTGGTTTGCAAATTATAGAATCAAATTTGAATATATTTCTGGTAAATCTAACTTTGTTGCTGACTTTTTGTCCAGACATTTTGCAGAAGATTTGCAGGATAATGGCGGACAAGAAGGAAACTGGAAATCACTTCTCATGCTCCAAGTGTAAGCAACGAGGACACTTGAGAAGGAACTGCCCTTGGAGGATTACTTCTACTTCAAAGGTTATTGCTAAAAAGGAAAAAACTGTAGATAAGCAGGTGGCTTCTTCTTCTAAGCAGGTTACTACTGTAAAGCAGGTTGAAGGAAAGAATCGTGACTATGATTCTGATACTTCGGATAGAAGAAACCCAAAATTTCAACGATTGAAGGGTGAAACTTCTATGAAGAGAAATACTTTTGAAAAGAGAGTTACTCTTAAGAAGGAAACGACTCATAAAAAAGGAATAGTTTGCTAGTCTTGTAAACAGGAAGGACATGAACGGGCTAATTATCCACTGTTATAGATAAAAAATTCTGAGGAATCATCGTCAGGCGTTACAAGCGTGGTGACACCTACTCCACAAAAAAAAAAAAAAAGGGTTAATTGATGCAGATATTTGTGAGAGGTTTAGCTTTCCAGAAGGCTTAAGATTAACTTCAGCAAGTCAAACACTCTGGAAGGATCTGGAAACCCAAATTAGAATCGTAATGGCGACATGACAAGGGGAAGTACAGCTGTAGAGGTGTTTAGAAAAGCTAGCAAGAAGGTTAGCATGGCTGGAAGCTGACAAACTATTTTATGAGAATGAGGAGTTCAAGGGAATTACCTTACTCTACGAAGCAGGAATTCAAAAACTTGAGATAATGAGAAAATGTCATTTGTTTGACATGTCGAATCTCAAACTCGAGAATTTGAATGAATAATAGTGAAATTAGGAAAAACTGACTTGATGGATTTGGTTCAAGGATTAGCGGTTTATCCTAATAGAGCTATGGAATTGTTCGTTCCATGGAAAATCTTTAGAAAATGTTTCTGTAGAGATCTTTTGACTAACGGATGGATCGATACAATACAAATTGACGTACATAAAGCTATGGTGGATCCGAATATGCCAGATGCGGTTAAGCAGACGCTCTGTGTATTGAATCAAAAGGTCGATACCTTCACTTGCATGATTACTTCCTCATTGCAAGAAAGCTACAATGTTCAACCTGTACGGATATGGGAATTTCTTGTAGGAGAACCATGGTACCGAATTATGCTCGATAATGAGGTAAAAATGGGTTCTTATGCACTAGAAGAAATTCAAAAGAAAGAAGAGGAAGATTGGACCAGGCTGCATATTGCAAAATTGCTACTGGTTAAATCCAAACTAGAGGAGCTTGTTAAAGCATACGTTACTATCCATATCCATAATGGGATAGTGGCAGTATTACCAGATAGGTATGCGACAATCCAGGATGCACTCTTCAAGCATAACCAAGCCCAGTTAAAAGCGTTATTAGAAGGGTTTGATTTAGCCCATCTACCAAAGTAGGCTTTAATGGAAGGTATTATTGATCTTCTAAGGATGATCTTAGCCCACGACCAAGAAGCCCAAGAAGATGAGGCTCTAAAAGATTTTATTGATCTTATAGAAGTTGATAACTTCAAATATTGATAAAAATCTGGAGGATGGAGATTTGGACAACCAAAAATGTCCAACACGTAAGACGCTGACGTGTATCCAACAAGCGGAAGTAATACGTGGACATCCAGGATTTTGCCGACAAAAAGCAACGAGCCAAATTCAAAGAAAATCTTGGATGTTGTGTCATTTAGTCTCATGTAACATGTGTAAATTGTAATAATTTACTTTTGTTTAAAACATGGGAGACATGTGGACCCCATGTCATTTTCTTTAAGATAAATGTTAGTTTTTCATTAGGTTAATAGTCAAATCACATTTCTTTTGTGATTGACATTTTGTTTTGTATATTTTGTTTTACCTACGAATTCAAATCTTTTGAAATCCGAACTTCTTTATATAAAGAGAAGCTTTGTATATTTGCAATCAGAGAAAAATTAATAATATTTTCAGTTTGTGAAAAATTCAGTCTCTCAATCTCTTGTTTTACTTTTACTGCCTACTCGAAGCAAAGAAAATGTTTATTCAAGACGATTGATACCCATGTATGAAGTAATCTTTAAAACTGAATTTATGTGTTTTTCTCTCCAATTAATCAACTAGGTTCTTTAATTATTAATTGTAATAATATTTGTAAGACTAGGTATTACAAATATTATGTGGGTGTAAATGATATCAGAGCTTTGGAAGACAAGGGGGTGTTTATACCTGTTAACTTGTTAAAAATTCTTTAATAGCATGAATAATGGTTCAAATAATGAAGTCTGTTTAAATAAGACTTGTTTTCATTTGGATCATGGTCTCGAGGGAAAACCGAAGATCGGTTTGTTAAATACTGTCGTCGATAAGTTAGAGCTTTTGACCCAAAAGCTTGAAAACTTATACAGGAGAGTCAATTATACAGTGTATCGTATATTTGCTCTAAACAAAGAAATAACCCAGATCGGGAACCAGATTGAAAAGGTTAATTCTGTACTTCAAAAGGTCAAAACACTGGAACGTGTGCTAACTATTTTACTAAGCTGGTAAGATATGAGATGTCTCTGGTTTTAAGCGACATCGAACAAGTGTGACCTATTGAAAGATATACTGAACAAGAGGTTAAACGGGTTGTGTTGGACCTCTGTAACGGCAACCTAGATATTCGAGAAGAATATTTGACTTGGCTAGGGGTAAAGCGACTTTTGGATGCTATCCAAAAGGCTTTTAGTCAAGGGTGCACAAAGATTTTGTGTTTTATTTGTCGGATTTCCACCATTGAAGTTTCTGAGCTAGAACTTCGGAATAAGCGGTTGGAAAAAGCTGAGGCGGTAATTCTTTACTGGTACGGCGAATCCTAGCCGAATCCAGATCCTACACCATATAAAGATTCGGACTTTGCAATTGAGTTAAGACCTGATTCAGATTGACCATGGGTGGTCAGGATGTTTTGGATCAGTTCGCAGCCAGTTTGCAGGCTAAATATCCCGGATTGCCTCCAGGATATGCACAGTTCGTGGCCAAAGAAACCCAAGGTGATTGGGAAAAGGCGGAAAAACTCTTTATGAAAGGTGTCAAGGAAGAAGACTTTGTTTCTAAAGTTGATGGAAAACAGAAGATTGATATTTCAGAAATTTCTACCTTGGATGCTAAACTAATCAGTAGGTATTACGAGGAAGAAATGAAGAAACAAAGGAAAGGAGAAGAAACTGGAGGATCAAAAATTACTCCAGGTCCTAAAAAGGCGGAGCTCGATGAGCTAATCTCGAAACTCAAGGAGTCTGAGTTTAAAGATGATCCCCTTAAAGGAATTCGTAACCCTTTAAATTCTTTCAAAGGATTCCTAAAGAAAATCTCCAAACCCGAATATAAACAAGGATAAGGTCGGAGTTTATACCTTGGGAATACCTAGAATGGTGGAGATACCGTCTAGTAGAAGTTTCCTAATAATTGATTGTGTTACGAATGTAACGGATGCAATCGAAGGATGAGAAACTGTTAACTGGGTTCATATACAAAACAAGAATTTTGGACTCAATGATACTTACAGGTTTTTAAGATCCACACTGTAGGGAGCTGTAAGGAGCTTTTGGAGAAGTCTAGAAACTGGTACGGGTCTGTTAGATACTGTAAGGGACTTGAAGAATGAAGAGTGCAAATGAAAACAAGTCTTATTTAAACAGACTTCATTATTTGAACAATTATTCATGCTATCAAAGAACTTTTAACAAGTTAACAGGTATAAACACCCCCTTGTCTTCCAAAGCTCTGATACCATTTACACCCACATAATATTTGTAATACCTAGTCTTACAAATATTATTACAATTAATAACTAAAGAACATGGTTGATTAATTAGAGAGAAAAACACATAAATTCAGTTTTAAAGATTACTTCATACCTGGGTATCAATCGTCTTGAATAAACATTTTCTTTGCTTCGAGTAGGCAGTAAAAGTAAAACAAGAGATTGAAAGATTGAATTTTTCACAAAGTGAAACTATTATTAATTTTTCTCTGATTGCAAATATACAAAGCTTCTCTTTATATAGAGAAGTTCGGATTTCAAAAGATTTGAATTCGTAGGTAAAACAAAATATATAAAACAAAAGGTCAATCACAAAAGAAATGTGATTTGACTATTAACCTAATGAAAAACTAACATTTATCTTAAAGAAAATGACATGGGGTCCACATGTCTCCCATGTTTTAAACAAAAGTAAATTATTATAATTTACACATGTTACATAAGACTAGATGACACAACACTCAAGGTTTTCTTTGAATTTGGCTCGTTGCTTTTTGTCGGCAAAATCCTAGATTTCCACGTATTACTTCCGCTTGTTGGATACACGTCAGTGTCTTACGTGTTGGATATTTTTGGTTGTCCAAATCTCCATCCTCCATATTTTTATCAATCTTTGAAGTTATCCACTTCTATAAGATCAATAAAATCTTTTAGAGCCTCATCTTCTTGGGCTTCTTGGTCGTGGGCTAAGACCATCCTTAAAAGATCAATAGTACCTTCCATTAAAGCCTGCTTTGGTAGATGGGCTAAATCAAACCCTTCTAATAACGTTTTTAACTGGGCTTGGTTATGCTTGAAGAGTGCATCCTGGATTGTCGCATACCTGTCTGGTAATACTACCACTATCCCATTATGGATATGGACAGTAGCGTCTGCTTTAACAAGCTCCTCTAGTTTGAATTTAACCAGTAGCAATTTTGCAATATTCAGCCTGGTCCAATCTTCCTCTTCTTTCTTTTGAATTTCGTCTAGTGCATAAGAACCCATTTTTACCTCATTATCGAGCATAATTCAGTACCATGGTTCTCCTACAAGAAATTCTCATATCTGTACAGGTTGAACGTCGTAGCTTTCTTGCAATAAGGAAGTAATCATGTAAGTGAAGGTGACGACCTTTCGATTCAATACACAGAGTGTCTGCTTAACCGCATCTGGCATATTCGGATCCACCATCGCTTCCTGTACGTCAATTTGTATTGTATCGATCCATCCGTTAGTCAAAAGATCTCTACAGAAACATTTTCTAAAGATTTTCCATGGAATGAACAATTCCATAGCTCTATTAGGATAAACCGCTAATCCTTGAACCAAATCCGTCAAGTCAATTTTTCCCAATTTTACTATTAATTCGTTCAAATTCTCGAGTTTGAGATTCGACATGTCAAAAAAAATGACATTTTCTCATTACCTCAAGTTTTTGAATTCCTGCTTCGTAGAGTAAGGCAGTCCCTTGAACTCCTCATCCTCATAAAACAGTTTGTCAGCTTTCAACCATGCTAACCTTCTTGCTAACTTTTCTAAACACCTCTGCAGCTGTACTTCCCCTTGTCATGTTGCCATT